GGAAGCATAAGGGATGGATCTGACGCCAACCTTGCAAGTAATGGAACAAAGCATGGGAAAAGTTCATTGCATTCCAGGAGGCGTAGTAAGTAAATTAAATAAGAAGCTTTCTCACATTGAAAACAAATAAAAGAATAAAATAAAGAAAAAAGAATTTCAAAGAACACAAAAACGAAAAACACAAAGAAATATTCTTTATATTTGTCAATTATTGAAAAACACGTTTCAAGGTTTGATGAAAGGGTTCAAAGATCGTCGCAGGCAAATTGTTTCAGTCTCTAATAGTTCTATTTGTGAATGAAAAACTCCTTATGTCCGTTTTCTGTATTCTGGTCGTAATTTTATGCACGTGATCCGCTCTATGGAAGTATGTAGGTTTTCCTAGACGACGGTTAATTTTATTTCAAGCCGGATAGTCTGTGTCAGCTGTATACTTAGCACAGAGTCGGCCTTCTTTCGAGTGACTCGCATACTCCTATTTTTTGTTCCTCTGAAAGTAGATTTCGATGCTCTGCGCTGGAGCTTTTCTAGATTACCTTGCTGTGGTATTCTGTACCTCAAGATACCTCGCCATATCCTAACACGGGCCCTACAAGTGATATATAACCTAATTCTTTACTTCTCACTGTACTCTTCTTTAGAATTCGCATAAAGAAATGTAAAGATCTCCAGGCTTTCCTCACAACAAAATTTCTTGAATTTCCCAGCTCCATTTACTATCTGATTGTATTCTTAAATATTTGCAAGATGTGACTGTAGTTATGGCATTGTTGTTCGCATTGTTGTACGCAGTTTCACCATACGTTCGACCCCTACAAAACTTGATGGCTTTGCTCTTGGAACTGTTTATTTCCATGCCGTTTGTTTCTGTCCAGGAGTGTAATTTGTCTGTGTCTCGCTGCAAAACATCATCTCCCTCCTCAAATTTGATAACCCATCAGATGATACAGTCATCGGCTAAGAGGTTTACACTTGAATGTAAATATTTTGGTAAGTCATTCTCGAAGGCGAAAAATCTGAGAAGTCCAATGACACTTCCTTGTGGAATCCCTGACGTAATACTTATGGGTGTTGACAAATAACTTCAGATTCGAACCTTCTATTTCCTATCACGTAATAGTTCGTTTATTCAAGCCACCATCCTTTTGTCTATACCAGAATCTATTAATTTGTTTACAAGATGATCGTGTGGAACCACATAAAAAGCTATATCAAAATCTATTACTATCGCGTCTACCCTTCCATCTTCATCAATTTCGTCGGCTAGGTCCAGTAGAAGTGAAACAAGCTGACTTTCGCAAGATAAAAAACGTTCCTAAAACCGTGTTGACCTTGATACAGCCATTCCTTGCCTTCCCTTGAAATGTATTTGTTTATATCAATAGTTAAGTGTTATTACATACTTTACTTTTTTGTTATTTTATTACTTTATTTCGGTAAATGCACGTTTTAGTAAAATTGTTTTCGCAACATACGTAGTGTTTTTAGATTTTCATCATTTTAACAGCATAAACGCAAATTCCTGAATTTTTACAATGACTTTCAAAAACTACACGGGATCATATTGAAATACTTTAACGATAATGTACGACAGACAAATTAAATAATATGTAATTCTCTAATAAATAGAGACGATAGTTAGACTTTTTGTTTTGAGTTTATTTCCGCAAACCAAGAACATTCATTTACAGATTTTGTTACAAATACCAATGTTGTTAGGCTTTTTGCAAGTACCTCTTGTTATTTGTTAAATATCGTGTTGCTTTTTTCCATTAAATTACATTTTGTTTTGCATTAAATCAAAAATATGAAAGTAATAGGTAGTAAATATGAAAACACAAATAGTTTATATGAATATTTTTTGCTGAATATTTGTAGAAATTTATCATACAATGAAAACATATTGAATGCATGCATTCCTCTACGAATATATAGGTCCATCTTCTGGGTCGTTTTGATAGACAAATAAATGCTTTCTCCCTGTACTTGCGTGATAACTCTTTTGTGTCTGAAAGACCTGAATTCAAACAACGCTATTAATACTTATAATACTATTAATATTAAAATTATTCTATACTTGCTCTGATTAAGGAAATGGTTTCAACAATGTTCGCATAATTTGAATTCGTCCGAAATGATGAGACCTCTTAGGTTAGAAATATTAATATTTCAAAGATTCTGACGTGGATTAGTCAAAATATTCTGTGTGAAATTGTTAAAATTAAAATTTTGCCTTTTGTATATCTGCAGTTAGAGGTTATGTCGGATACTCCCCACTTCAAAACAAATAGAATGCAATAGAGGAGAACATTTAGCAACGGCTGAGTAAACTAAACTATTTGCTCTCATCAAAAGAAAAAAAAAGAAAGGAATGAAGAAAACCTATGTTCTTATGAAAAGCGTGATTCATCTGAGATAATGATGGCCATCCATTAAACTAGATTGCAATATGTATTAAATCCGAAAATAATGGGCATGAGTGATTTGTCGGATATGTTTACAATTTATAGTAAATTGTCCCGAAAATATCAAAAGAAGCATCTTAAGAGAAATGAGACGTAAAAAAAAATACGCTTATCTTAATGAAGAGCATTGCAATGAACTGGACGGGAATGCCTTTCTCATAAATAAGTAGCATTCGCAATTAATGCATTATCTGCTGCCTCACACTCCTTTTCTTTCATTTTGTGATATTGTGTAGTTATGTAACGTAGTCATTTTTAATATGGTAGTTTATGCTTTGTTTCAACGCAAGATTTAATCTCATGAAATATACGGCTGTGTCCCAGGTTCCGAGAAATGAGGGTCAAAGTGTTTCGGAAATAACTTGCACAGAGAAAGAGAAGGAGTCATGAAATTCTGTTATGTAGAATATTTAAATATATTAAATCATAACCCATGCTTGAGTTAGAAAGAAGTTTCAACAATTTATTATGAATACACCTCGTTTATGTAATGATTAATGACCAAATTTGGTTAATTCACCAATAAGATGTTAATGTTCACATGATACAAAATGAGTGGCTAAAATATGGAGTAGGAAAAGCTTCAAAGCATACTTGAGAATTAACTCCGATAAAGTCCACTTTAGCCAACACAAGGTGGCTAGGATAGATGAAGTATGTTAATGCAGGATGAGTTGCTTTTCAGGGGGAAATGTACATGTCTAGCTTCGTTACATGAAATTTCTCATCATATGTTCATAGACAAAAAGTTATTATCTTCGACATCCCTAGAAGCTTGTAAACTTTATCCTGAGACATTCTGCATTGTTATCCCACCCACCACGTGGAATTGGCTGTAAGCAAGTCGAGACACTCCAAGCTTTCAATCACCGCTTCCCTAGGTTCCCCTGAAAATTGAGCTCTCACGATGGAGATAGAGTACATATCACATTTCTGTTAAGTTTTCATTCACACTTCAAATTGGAAACTTTATGATTAAATATTTAATGATTGAATGGCCAAACCGTGGTCCCTATTATTTTCGTGTGAATGAGAATAGGTGTATGAATATACGAGTATATCAAATGCAAAATCGAAAGTAATCTTATTAATCTTTGTGTTCGGCCTCATCGTAAGAGGGCTTATAATAGTTCCTTATTAACTTTTGACGTCGGTCGCTTAGGATAATAAGAGCAGATCATTTATTTAATTGTGAATATGGCTTCGCCAGGGAACGTATCGAAGGGAGCAGTCACGGAGTGAACTCATCCATCACACTCGACATGGCCGCAATGACAGTGATAAAATGGAGAGGAAAGGGATTGACATTGCAGTAATGAATACGGGCAGGGGATAACAGAGTTGGAGATGGTGGATAATGTTGGAAATTAGAATACACTTATAATTTGCCATGATAGTGTCTCTAGAGAAAGGAGTTGAAACCACGATGGTAGTTGAAACTACGATGATAGTATTTGTAGGAATAGAAGTTCAAATAAAATTTAAGAATGTTTTAGGTCTGTCAGAGTATTACCAAGGAATTCAAAATAATTATAATTCGAATGTAAAAATATTAGAAACACGAAAACTGAAAAAAGGTCGTGGAATGTATGATTCATAATACAATTCCATGTCATTAGAAGTAGTAAAAACAGCCCAATTATTATGCTAGAATTATATCATGATTTTTAGATTAAGGGAAGTTGGAAAATATAGTAAGGCGATATTAAGAATTTCAGAGAACGATGACAGATAAACGGCGAAGACCGGAAATATTAGTGAGCTCCAGTGATTGTGAGATACACTGCTAGTGTCAACTCTTGGAAACGACTAATTTTTAATGAGAAATAGTAATAAAAATAAAAATAAAACTACTTCTACAAATTATCAGTCCCTGAACCACAAATTTCACGGATTCATTCTGTGAAATGCATCGGTTCAGAACAGATAAAAAGGAGTGCAGAAAAAAGTCACACCATGTAGAACCTGTGATTGACATATCGAAGACTACGGGGACTGAGCTAAAATGAGTGGTAATGGACACATCAGTCAGTGCCTGGCACGCGATGAATGGTTGTTCAATTTTTTCAATCATTTACGAAATAATATTTCACTGGCCATGTCACTGCCATGGATGTTCACCGCCTGCATCTTCCCAAGAAATCAAAATTTTGGAATCGGAAAAAGTGTGAGATTTTACCCCGGAGGTAGAAGAGAAGTGGAGGAGAAGAAAAAGCAGAAGAAGAAAAGGAGGAGAAGGAGCAGAAGAAGAGGAAGAGTAGAAGAGGAAAAGAGAAGAGGAGGAAAGGATGAGAAGGGGAAGAAGGATCAAAAGGAGAGGAGAGGAGAACAGGAAGAGAAGAAGGGGAGAAGGGAAAGCACAAGAGAAGGAACAGAAGAAGACGAAAACGATGCCGAGCAGAAAAGGTGAGAAGAAGAATGAGAAGAAGTCGAAGAGAAAGAGTCGAAAAAGAAAGCGAGGAAGGAGAAGAAGAAAAGGCCGAACTGTGAATGGAGGTGCCACTGAGGTGGAGAGGCCGCGCCCCCCACTGCCCCCTGAGGGCAACCGCCGCTCGTCCGCCACTGGCGGGTGCGCCGTTAGCCCTCCGGGCCTGGTGTCCATTGAGCGCGTCCGGGCGCAGTGGCGTCAATGAGTTAACCGTTTCTACCTTGAGCCGCTCCGCCTCGCCCCTGGCCGGGCCGTTGCATCAGAGGGCCTGCTTGCGCAAGGGCGCGCTGTGGAGTGCCCGGCCCGGCCCGGCGCGGCGCGGCGTGGGGGCGGCGTGGCGTGGCGTGGCGTGGCGTGGCGTGGTGTGAAGAAGCGAAGCCCGCCATGAAGCGGCAGAGCGCGCGGTCAGTGCGCTGCTGGCAGGCGACGCGCCGTTGCAGAAGCTCAGTGCTGCAGGTGCCACTGTTGCTCGGCATGTCGGTGTCGGCGGCGACCGCGGCGGCGGCGGCGGCGGCGGCGCTTAGAGCGGACGTCATGGCGGGGCCCACCGCGGCTGGCGCGCCCTACTGGAGCCCGCGACTCGCCAGGTGAATTAGATCTAGGAGAAAGTACGGCGGTAATGATCCAAGGAGTGGGCTGAGTACTTGTGCCACGAAATGCGGGTGATTTACGAGCTGCGTGATTGCTAAACCTTCGGACTTAGCTGAAAATATTTTTAATTTTTTTTTAGCTCAACCAAATATATGTTTTCAATATTTCAAATACATAAATTTTATAACATTTTAATTATTGATGTCAATGGCCTGGACTTTCGCAAGCAAAATATTGGCAAATGTATTTCCCTAAACAGTTGTAGAATATGTTTCTCATTCGGAATAATGTAGCTTTGAGTGCTTCAAATTATGAATTACCAATATTTAATGATATTCAAATATTAAACAATTTAACAAAAGTACATTCTAAAATTATATTATAAATCTTATTGCAACCTTTTTTATATACTTCCCTAAAATAAAAAACTTATACATGCAATATTGTTTCCAAAAATGCATTTCTTGCAGTTTCAATAAATGAAACATATTTATATCCGGAGACTTTCTTCAGAACCTGAATATAGACAATGCTAACCTGGAAAGAATTCGTCTTTTCCTTATGAAATTTCGTAACGTAATACTCATGCCAGAACCGTTGTACTATATTAGGAAGGACAGTAATATTTTAGTTAAATGTATTTAATAAATATTTATACATTCGCTTATTGATCTGAATGAGTCAACGAGCGACGACACTTACATACATTTACAGTTTAATAATAATTTCAATTTTTTATAAGGTTTAAATTTATATTAAATTTTATATTTGATGTCTAAGGTGGGCTAAAAACTAAATACATATTCAAAGATAGGTACAAAAGTTTTTGCTCTTCATTACCAATGGAACGTGGAACCTCAAGTTCTCTAGCAACTCAAAATTAATTTTGTCAAATAACTAATACCCTTCGACACACACACTCACACACCCGCACATGCAGTACGACAGAGGCTGTAGGGAATACCACGTTTTCTATATATTGAAAGACGTGAATAACGAGTCACTTACCCGATGTTCTCCTTACTTGCAACATTCAGTATCTGAAATCTGTGAGTATTCAACAAACGATTTGAGTAGTGTGTTAATTAACATTTCTTTTAATTATGTTAATTAACAACACAAGCTTGAATTTTAATGTCAAACAAAACCCCATTAGTCATCGGCATTCAGTAGAATGGAATTTTGGTTTTCAAATATAAATACTGAACCTTCAATGCTGTCACATGCTGAATATAAAATTCAGTTACCATGAGCTTTATGCAAGGATACTTGTATAACGGTATTTTTAATTATATACATATTTCCAATGCGATTTATTTAAGGTTTAAATTTAGGGTTTCCCTAAGAAATATACGTATATTCAGACACGCCAGAGTCATCTCATATCATTGAACAGGTAAAAATATGTTTTTAAATTTCGAAGGACACAGAGGTGAACCAGAAAAGAATACAATGATTTAACATGAAAAAGATAGACAATGTACAAGTAGAGTTTGAGAGACGTGTTGTTATAATAATAATAATAATAATAATAATAATAATAATAATAATAATAATAATAATATTCATTAAATATATGCTTTTAAAGTAAACAATCTAAGAAAAGGACGAAAGGCATCAGCGAATAGGAGTACATGATGTGGATGGCAAAGATGGTGCGTAAAACGATCACAGAGAAACCCATTAGAGTTCGATCTTCACCACGGAAAGAACCTTCAAGTAATAGTATGGTTACGACTCAAAAGAGGAGATTGAAAGTAGTCACGAGGTAGCATGGACCACTGTAAGGAGCTCCGCGATATATTGAGATTTTAGAACTTAAGTAGATTAACTTAACATAAAAACGTGAACTCAGAGTTAGAATGACAGCAGTGCGATGACCAGTACGTTTTTAACATTTTAATTTGAAAGTTAAATGTAAAATTTAGAAATTCGGAATTTTCCAGTGTGGGGACGAGAGGAAGCTGGATCACGCCGCTACTTTTTTTTTTGACGGGGGGGGGGAGCACAAAGACAAGATGTCTATCGATGTTCAGCGAAAAGGAAGCGAGATTCGAAAAAGAGAGAGAATAAAAGTAATGTGCAAGGCCTAAGATTGCATTCATTCGAAAAATGAAAAATAATATAAAACAATGGTCATTAGTTTTCAAATAGATACTAAAATTACACAGATCTGCGCGAAAGACGGATGAATGAATGCTATTATATGTTAATTTGTGTAAATGTGATTTGCAATTTATAATGAGAAAGGTGATTAGTGTATTTTATTTTATTATATGTTAATTTCTCAGACGGCTTCCAAGGCAGTTGAGAAAATAAATGGCGCAACTAGTTATTGTTGCGGTGAAGAATTTCGTAACGAATGATTTTATTTTATTTGAGTTAGAGTTCGCGTGTTAAAAACCGTAATAAAACTATATAAAAATCGTTTTATCCTAGGCCTCTTGGAGCTGTGAATTTTTAGGTACACTCAATTTTCAAAGAAAATCCCTCAAATAAAACTTTTACGAGAGAATATAAGAATAGGTATCCCTGAGATCACAATAATAACTTAGCTAGCCGGAATATTGTTAGGAATAAAATAGTTACGGCAAAGAGAGAAATGTTATCAGTATATTATACAATAGGTTGTATGTAATGTATAACTTATTTATATCCTATTTTATAGATTAAATATAATGCTTCACCTATTTATAGCACCAGACGTGTTATTTGTCTGTCGATCGAATTGGCGACTACGTATTACTTGAGTAACTGAATCATTTGAAATTTAAAAAATCCTTTTAATGTTGTAATAAAGGTTAATCAAAACCGAAAGACTCTGAACTAAAATGAGATATTTTCTGCAGTGTTAATTATATCTTCATAGTACATGTATATAAAAGTTAATGATCCGCTAGAAAGGATCAATCAATTTTTCTTTATTGTTCTATGATTATACAAAGACAAAATATGTTGGCTGGATAATGAAGTGGTATCTATGAGTCCTAGTTCCTCAGATTCATTTTCAAGTGTTTCGCGAAATGCTCAGAGTGACTGGCGAAAATCCCCTAGACCTCAAGAACAAATTGTGAAAATGCTGAATCTCGTTTCAAAATCTGCACCTGTATTATCGAAGTGTGTAATGTTATTCGAGCATTGCTAGGTGAACACATATAAATAATACTGTATTTAAACCATCATAGTATTACCAATTTTCATCGAGGAGTTAAATTGTTTTGATCTATCAATGAATGCTTCTTAACGGAAAGCCAAACATGTTTGGCACAACTGTGTTGATGTCTTCGATATAAGAGTACGGAGGCACGTGACTCCTGAATCTTCCTACTATATTCAAAACACTATGGCTTTTCGTTTAGAAATAAATTTTAGCTTTCTACTCAACCAAATTTCGTGATATTTGCTTTCAATTAAAGTGAGTGAGTCATAGGTGCGTCATAACTTGTTCTTAGTAACATGTTTTGTAGTATAAACGATAAATTCTATTAATATCTTAAAATTAATCGTATGAACGCTAATCTGCCAGGCACTTGTCATTTCATCGTATTCAAGACTAACTACATTGTATTGTTGGAAAATATTTGCTCTTAGGTGTATTGTTGTAGGAGTTGTAGTACGTCTATCAAAAGCACTTTCCGTTTCATGAGATTTTAGTAAGAGAGGTGAAGATAGAGAGCTTTTTGAGTTCGAAGATTGTTTTTAAATGCAAAGATTCTGTATTGTATATAATTTTATGAATTTCTACCGTTTGACACTAGTGATACAACATTGACAACAAATCACTGATATTGCCAAACATCGATGTTCAAAATTTAAAAAAAAACATTGAGCAAATACGGCTCCTTAATAATATACATCGATATTTTAATGCTAGGTTTTAATCTCTACCATTAAATTCGTGAGCAACAAAATTAAATATGACAGAAGCCGAGTTAATTAATCTATAACTAGTAAAGTGTAGCGTCGCCTACAATGTAAAATGTTTTCAAAATAGTTTCATGTGTTGAAAATTTCTTTCATACTTCATTTTTTTCATTCTCAGCTTTGTTCAAATATGTTCCTTCAGTATCTGGCACTGGCATCTGCTTACCACTGAATCGTAGTGGCTGATAATGTTATACTCACGTTCAAATGTTCCCAACACCCTTGAATCTTACCTCCATTGGGATATGAACTGGTCTAATTTGCAATTTCAAAATTATAATCGCCGTAACAAGTACTTGCAGGATTTTATGCTAATGGTTAAATTTTAGTACAGCTAAGTTTTTTTTACAATTTTCTACTAATATGCACAAAAATTCACTTTCATTAGCACAAATGCTAAATGCAAAAATGTATATTATTCCCAATTAGTTCCGAAAATTCTGTCGCTACATCTTTTACAACTACATTTGATTTTTCTCCGTATTTGCTTAAAACGTCACCAACTCAGTCAAATTTGTGTTCATTTCTACTTCTGCAATTGTTCTATTAATTGTTTCGTATGCGAATCTAGCGTTGCATGCGAATCTAACATTAAAAGACAGCTGTTTCGTATGTTTATGTGATCAAGGTGTTAGTTAAGATTAATAAGAATAAGTTGTGGAACACATTCATTTGAAAACCGGTGTTTGCACACTTACGTAAGAACGGAAAAGTGCGAAGTCGAATATAAGAACGTCCATTTATTCCCTATCATTACTCACAGGTTTGTTCTCTTCATATTCACTGGAAATTCTTGAAGTTAAATAAGTTCCGAGGCAATACTCTTCGTAAGTTTTCACAAATTTATTTTTTTTAAATACGATATTTTGAATCTAAACTGATGTCGGACGGCAGCACGATTTACTAGGTAATTCAATGTTCACGTAAAAATGTCAACATCAGTTTTGTAAACGTCGTGAAAGAAAATTATGGCGTATTAAGTTAAAAATACCTTTGGGTACTGGTGTTTAATCAACGCCACCTACATAAAATCGATTTAGGAGGTTGGATTAATTCCCGAATTATCACTAAG